CGTATTGCTGTAACGAACGTGCTCAAGACAATTTAATCTTGACCGTAGACAAATAATAGATTATAGAATTGACATTCCGTATTTTACATACTTCAATATCAGTTTTTATTTGTGAAATCTTTTAATTTTCTGTAAGTGTTTTTTAATGTATTTGTACGCCATTTCTGTAATGTTCAAATTGTTTTACAGTACACTCCTGATTAAGCTATTAAATAAATACCGAAATATTGAGTTTCTTAGAAAAAACAAAGATTATTATTAGAGACCAGTTTACCTGATATTTCCTACGTATTTATAAATTTTTAAAAGATCCTTAACAGCCTGATCTCAACGAACTATATCATGTAGGGTCTATTATGAATAATACAAGGTGAAATTTTGAAATTAAGTATACTTTTCTTCAAGACAATAAATTCATAGAATACCCGAGGTAATTGATTGGATTACATTAAAATAAATACTCAAAATGTTCTCCACTTTGTTGTTGGCAATAACACAGGCTCTTATAAAACGTCCCGAACTATGTTTATAGTTTCAGCTGAAATGTTCCGTATTTCTGTAGTTATCCTTTGTTTGAGGTCTTCAATGCTAGTTGGTTGTGTTGCATATACTTTGTTCTTGAGTTAACCCCACAGAAAAAAATCCAAAGGCGTAAGATCTGGCGATCTAGCTGACCACTCAATAGTACCCCTTCGTCCAATCCAATTATTGAAGAAGATTTCATTCAAGTAATTTCTCACCATTAAAGCATAATGGGGTGTTGCACCGTCCTGCTGGAACCAGACAGTTTCATGCGGTAGGGTCGGATCTATTGGATTGGGATATACGTTAGCCAACTGAGGAAGAACATCATCTCTTAGCATGCTTAAATATTTTTCCGCTGTCAAATTATTATATACAAATATAGGATAAATACTATGATCTCTTATACCTGCCCAAACGTTCAACTTTTGAGGATACTGAGTGTGTGTCTCACGCATCTAATGAGGATTCTACCCTGACCAATATCTACAGTTTTGTCGGTTTACCTCTCTGTTCAATGTAAATGTTGATTCATCAGAAAAAAGAATTGTGCCAAGAGTTATTTCATTTGTATTAATTGTATCTATCATTCTGTCGGAGAAATCCATTCTACGATCTGGATCGTCTTCTGTTAGCTCCTGCACAAAAGTCAATTTATACGGATGAAGTTTTTATTCTTGGAGACACCTTAGGACAGTTGTGTGACTCACATTATTTTGACGTGCAATTTGACGTGAACTTGACGTTAGATTCTCTGCAACACTTAACAAAATATACACTTACACCTCATCTTCAATAAATTTGGTTTTCTTTTTAATGGTTTGGCATGTCCAAGTTCTCTGAATTGTGCATAAATTTTAGACACTAATTTTTAAATTTTTTTGAAATATTTTATTTGATTAAACAAGTTTGCTACTTTAACTTGACTTTTTTACAATTCTCCCCGTAACCGATCATTATTAAAATCTCAATTCGGTGGGTCTTAGTTAAATATTTCATTTTTAGTTCTGCCAGAAATTAGCTTTTAATTTCGATTTTATTATTTTAAAGTAAAATGTCAACACACCAACAACTGATTAATAACAATCCGCATTATTTACCGATTTAGTTTAATTAGCAGACTTTATAGACAGTTTTTACCTATTCATGATAAAAAATGTTAACACGGTTACTAAACAGAAATGTAAAATGATACTATAATACGTGATAAATTATTAATTTCAAAATTTCACCTTGCATTATTTATTATATACCCTACATGATGTTATAGTTCCTTAAAATTAGGTTGCTAAGAATCTTTTAAACACATAAAAATATACAGCGTGTTTCATTAAAAATATCGATTATGGACTAGCCAGACTTGCGTGGATCACCCTGTAGATGTAAATTTATGTTTAAAAAGCTCACATTTATATTTAAAAGTTAACGTGTCCCAGAGGTTTTTATTATTTTCTATAAGATATCATTTCAGAGATGGACATATATTACGTCTTAGAAAATAATAAATAACTGTCTTTTCTTTTTAAAAGTCTATCTTCGTTAAAACTAGAGAATATCCTGTGTTGTCTTTGTTGAGAACTCGTTAGGTAGAGTTAGGACCGAAGAAAAATTTTGCTCTTGTTGTAAGTGCTATCGCTATGTGTTGTTCTCTAATTTATATTACAGTAAATAGATGGATTAACGAAGAACCAAAATGATCATGTGATCATAGTTGCTTGACACTTCTCCAACCTTATGAGGCGCCAATATTGATTCAGATCATTTTCTAGTTGGCACAAGAATTCGGGCTAGAATCTCAAATGCGAAGAAGGAGAGAAGTATCAAAACAAGGCGCCTTAATATTGAACTCCTCAAAAATCCGCAAACGGTAGAAAGGTTTCAAAACTATATCGAAACTAAATACATAACTAAAGAGAAACAATTAGTGAACAATGAGAAATGTGTAAAAATTATATTAAAGACGCAGCAAATAACATTCTAGGGCCGCAAAGAGCACTACCACGCAATGAGTGGTCCGATGCTGAGTGCGAGGACATCACAAGAAGAAAGAACAATGCATGTAAACTGATGCAGCAAAGAAGAATCCGAGAAAAAGAACAAACATATAAAGATCTCAGATGAAAAGAGAAGTATATGCATCGGAGAAAAAAGCAAACTTATTAAAATAGAATATTGGAAGAACTTGAGGCATTAAAAAAGGAAAATCAAACAAGAAAATTCTATAAAAATCTGAATAATGCAAGAAAAGAATTTAAACCAAGGATGGACTATGTAAGGAAAAGGAGGAGCATATACTCAATACAAAAGAAGAAGTATTAAAACGGTGGGTGGAACACTATAAAGAACTACTTACTATCGAAGTAGAAGATCCAAATCAACCACCCCCAGGAGCAAGCAACAATACACCATTGGAACCTCCATCAATTCAAGAAGTGCGGGATGCACAAACAACTAAAAAATAATAAATCTCCAGGAAGTGATGGTATACCCGCGATACTTATTAAATGTGGAGGTGCTACTCTGACTAACCATATATATAAAATCATACTGAGATCCAGCATTGAGGAACAAATCCCGGAAGAGTGGTGTATTGGGATCATTTGCCCGCTACACAAAAAGGGTGATCAATTGGAAGGTAGAAACTATAGGGGAATAACCCTCCTTAATACAGCATACAAAATATTTTCGAGTATTTTATATAGTCACATGAGTGCATACTCAAAGGAGCTTCTTGGCGAATATTAAAGTGGTTTTAGGCCTGGTCGATCAACAACAGACCAGATCTTTGTGCTAAGGCAAATACTGGAAAAAACCAATGAATTCAATATCGACACATACCATATTTTGCGTAAAGTTGTTTGCAAAGTCGAAATACAGGGTGAAAATATAGCCAGAAACATCGGCCACAAATTCACTGTTGATAACTCTACCTTTGAAATGGTGGACAAATTCACATACTTAGGCTCCCTGATCACCAAGAAGAAGCAGAAACTTAAGCCAAAAAACAAAAATAACCATAAACAAAACCCTTATACAACCAGTGTTGACATATGCATCGGAGACATGGACCAAAGCAGATGAAAACCTCCAGTTTATATTTGAACGAAGGATCCTGAGAAGAATATTCGATGGCATCTGTGAAAATGGTGTTTGGAGAAGGAGGTACAACTACGAAATATATCACAGATATAAATATATATTTGGTGGTAAAGACTTTATAAGAATCTCTTATAAAAATAGGAAGACTAAGATGGGCAGGACATCTGGCAAGATCACAGTAGAACAACCCTCCTAGAAAAATCCTTATGTCAAAATCTGTGGGAAGTAGAAGTAAGGCTAGGCCAAAACTCAGATGGAGGGATGGTAGAAAAATAGGCCCAGCAAACTGGCAACAATTGGCAATGGATAGAACTGACTGGCGTAATAGACTTGTGAAAGTCGAGGCTCTTTTATAGGGCTGTAGCACCAATGATGATGATGAAATAGACTTACTTTTCCTCTTTTCATACCTTTGCAGTTCATATGTATGTCATGCACTGCATCGATATTTACAGAGGTGGACACAGAAACAAGTCTTTCCTATCGGCCTTCAAATTTAAAGGAAAATTTACCTTTTTTGCAACTTGCTATTTGTCATTAATCTCCAAAATCAAGAACATTTTTTAATTATTTTTAAAAATATATCCGAGTATGTCATGGATTCGATCGTTACTTGATGGAAATTCATTTTATTTAAAATTAAAACACTGAAAACTTTTGTTTTCAACACTTCCACAAAATTTAATATAAATCATTATCACTACAGCTGTTTGTTTTGGTAGAGTGCCGAAATAGATCACTCGAGAAAGGCACTGGCGGAATAGCTGTAGTTATAATAATTTATAATAAATTTTGTGGAAGTGTTGAAAACAAAAGGTTTCAGTGTTTTATTGTTAGGTATTCTAAGAATATAAGTTTTTATTTGGTTTTTAGTGGAAAACCCGAAAACAAGAGTATCAAAAGACAAACGGAGGAGGAACTAGAAGGATCAAGGGCATCAGCTGTGGCTGAAGCACAATCTGATGGTGGATATGCAAAAGCCTATGCATCTGCATCTGCTAGAGCTATATCTCATCAAAATAAATATTGTTATTATTGTAAAATCATTGATAAATCCAATTAAATGTTCTAAAAATTGTTTTAATTATTTACACATTTATATTCTATCAACTACGCTGGGTTATTATTGGGATCACACGTAAAAATGCTGAAGGGAATGCATTATTGTATATTTTCTTTAAGGTCTTAAGTTTTTTTTGAGCATATCATCACACTTTCTGATTTGTTTACCTTGAAATCCTTTTTTGCGTCGTTTCGTGCTTCCCTATATATTTCTACTGTCTTGATTAATAGGTGGAAATAAATGGAATAAAAAAATCAAACTACATTGTTAGCAAAAACCTTGAAAGGTTTTTAATAATATCTGTTTATAATTGACATTAATAATAAATATCATGTTCATCTATTTGATTTCCACAACAGCCACACGAGACAACGGGTCCGTACTGTCCATTAACCGTTTCCATTTCCTCGATTGGACCTTTTCCCATAAAGGGCTTCAACAAACTTTTGTGCATTGTCATAGATGTGGACACTACGTCATCTTTATCTGTATTTTGGGCCCGCTGAAATGCTTCCTGTGGGGTTGTATGAATGCCCTTGTTAGTGAAGTGTTCATGGAATGTCTGTTCAAACATATCTGGTGTTGATGTTCCTAATAAAGGACCTAAAAATTAACAATAAGGATATTGTCATCGTTACATAAATTAAAAAAAAAATGGTCTTAAAATTGATCTACCTGATCAGATTCTAGTAATAAGAATATCCTTAGGACTTTGTAAAAAAAAACGGATCATTATTTTCCCTGAGGCGTAGAATAAAGAAATACGTGTCTCGCCCCGTGAATATTCTCAAGGCATGATATGCCCGTCACATAAAAAATGAGATCAGCTCCAGTGTGACAACTACAGAGATACTACAACCCTGTTAACAACTGCTTACAAAATACTAGCAAATATTCTCTACGAAAGGCTACTTGTTTACACAGTTGGCAGAGTTGGAAAATACCAGGCCGGATTTACTCAAAAAAATCATCTATTGACCAGACTCATTCAATAAGACAGATCTTCAAGAAAACCTCAGAATTTAACATTGAAACCCATCACCTATTCGTCGACTTCAACGCCGCATAAGACAGTGTCAAGAGAACAGTACTATACCAATCGATGTGTGAGTTTGGTATACCAGAAAAACTTATCCGATTAACAAGAATGACAATATCTAACTTAAGCCAGCTTTAGGATACAGGGAGAAAATTCTCGATCCTTTGAGATAAAGGATGGAGTCAGACAAGGGGATGCCCTGGTTTGCCTTCTATTTAACATTGCCTTGGAAAAGGCAGTTCGAGATACATGAATTAGAGACAGCGGTACTATTTACAATAAATCGATACAAATCTTAGCATACGCTGATGATATTGATATAGTATGGCGTAGCAAGCAAGATGTTGTGCAATATTTCCCAGAATTGAAAACGACGGCGAAACAGATCGGTCTAGTCATCAATGAAGACAAAACTAAGTACATGTTGGTTAGTAAGGATCCTATAGCAAATGAGGAACGTGTTGACAGCTTCACATACCTTGGCTCGGTAGTGAATTACCAATAAAATAAGCAACGAAATTAAAAGACTAATAATCCTTACAAATTGGACATACTATGGACTTCAAAAACAATTCCACTCAAGAAATATCCAAAGACGAACTAAAATTATTATATACCAAACACATCTGAGGCCAGACCTCACATATGTGACGAAAACATAGCCTCTAACGCAGAAGGATGAAAGACTTCTGGGAATATTCGAGCGTGAGATACTCCGCAAAATATTTGGAGCTAGGGCAGTGGCGCAAAAGATATAATTTCGAATTGTATTAACTTTCGAATGAACCAGATTCGTAACGTTTAATAAAACACAGAGACTTAGATAGGCCGGAAACATAATACGATTGCTTGACAACATGACTGCTAAAAAGCTCATGACAGGAACACCTATTGGAAGAAGAAGCAGAGGTCAACCTTGAATTAAGTGGTTAGATGGAGTTGAGACCAACTTAGGGATACTAGAGATCGGAAGATGGCAGCACGTTGCCCGAAACCGAACAGAATAGCGACGATTCTTAGAGCAGGCCAAGATCCACAGAGGATTGTCAAGCCAAAGATGATGAAGATTAAAATAATGATCCAAATTTATTTTTAACGTTTAGACGTATTGAACTTGGGTTTTTTAATCAAAGAAGTTCTTATTTTCCCTGGTTTCTTTTTTCCATACACCTTGTCCTAGAGAACAAATTAAAACCCAGATAGTCCCAGATATTCTAATTTGTGCTCTTTGATTGTTTGAATGATCTCGCTATTCAACATTCTTACGTACACAATAAGAATACTTAAACGAATTGCATACAATTGATGCCAACTTTAGAGAGAATAGGTTAAGACGATTAGGATATATTTGTCAAGAGGGTTGATATTCTTCTTCTTCTAGTTCCATGACCGCTATCGATCGTTGGATATCATGTTGGCTACCATATTCGCTATCGTGACTTTATTGACAGCAGCTCTAAATAACGATGTAGTTGATTTTCCATACCATTGCCTTAGATTTTTCAGCCATGATGTTCTTCTTCTACCAGGACCACGATTACCTTGGATCTTTCCCTGAATGATCAGATGTAAAAGATCATATTTTTCAGGGTGTCTCATAATATGACCGAAGTATTCCAGCTTGCGTTTCTTTATTATATTGACCAGTTGTGTTGTTTGGTTCAGCCGTCTAAGGACCTCCTCATTTCTAACTCTGTCGACCCAGCTTATTTTCAGTAGTCGTCTGTATACCCACATCTCAAAGGATGTCAAGCGTTTAAGCACAGCCTCAGTTAGGGTCCACGCTTCTACTCCATACAGCAGGACAGGAAAGATGTAGCAAGATATCATACGAACTCTAAGGTCAATGCTAAGATCATGACTGCAAAGTACGTTTCTCATTTTTACAAAGGCAGCTCGGGCTTGTTCTATTCGGCTTTTAATTTCTGCGGTTGGATCCCAGCTCTCATTGATATTACTGCCGAGATACACGAGTTTCTCTACTCTGTCCAGTGTGGCATCTCCGACTTTTATACCGTCATCATGTATATAATTTTGTTTGCTAACTATCATATATTTAGTTTTCTTAACGTTGAGTTTTAATCCATACTGATCACAAGTCTGTTTTATTTTGTTCATTAGATTTTGAAGGTCTTCTCCGCAATTGGCAAGGACTAAGGTATCGTCGGCATATCTAATATTGTTGACGGTTACTCCATTCACAATAATACCTTCGGTTGTCTCCATTAAGGCTTCCTTAAATATTTCCTCCGAATATAAGTTAAAAAGTAAAGGCGACAATATACAGCCTTGTCTCACTCCTCTTTTTATATTTATTTCATCCGACAGTTCTTGTTCAACCTTTATTCTTGCCACTTGATGCCAGTATAGATTTCTAATTATTCGTAGATCTTTATCGTCCAATCCAGCTGTTTCCAATATTTCTAGCATTTTGTTATGTCGGACTTTGTCAAAAGCTTTTTCAAAATCGATTGCACAAATATACACATTTTGATTTATATCTCTGCATCTCTGTACTAGCACCTGTATACTAAACAAGGCTTCTCTTGTGCCCAAGCCACTCCTAAACCCAAATTGAGTATTGCTAATTCTGTCCTCTAACAGCGTATAAATTCTGCTGTGTATTACTCGCAGAAAGATTTTCAAAACGTGACTCATCAGACTTATTGTCCGATAATCACCGCATGTCTTTGGACGATGTTTCTTAGGTATTGTGACAAATGTCGACTTTAACCAATCAGTTGGTAATATCCCAGTGTCATAAATTCCTTTAAAGAGATTACACAGAGCTTTAATTCCATTTTCTCCCAAAAACTTTAGTATTTCAGCACTTACTTCATCGGGGCCAAGTGCTTTTCCATTTTTTGCCGTTTGTATTGAACGTCTTACCTCACTTTCTGTTATAGATGGACCTGATATAGCAATCGGTGTATAGTGTTCTACTCTCTCATCTTCAAATAATTCAGAAATGTAGTTTTTCCATTCTTTTAACTTTTCATTGATGTCTAATATTCTGTGTCCGTTTCTGTCTTCTAAACTTTGGGATACTTGTTTCCATTTGTTTCCAGCGACCTCTTTCAATTTCTTGTGCAGATGAAATGTATCGTGTTTCTTTTCATATTGTTCAATTTCATTACATTCTTTACTATGAAATTGTGTTTTCGCGTGTCTTATCTTCTGCCTGATTATTGCGTGGATCCTCTTGTATTCGTTTTTATCTTTATTTCTGACTTCTCTTCTTTGATCCATAAGTCTCAATATTTCTTCTGTCATCCACCCTTGTTTTTTTCTTGCTTTTAGCGCACTCAATTTTGTTTCTTGAACAGTCTTTAAGATGTCTTTAATTCTCGTCCAGTTTTCCTCAGTACTTTCTTCTTTGCTTGATGGTAACTTCATCTTTTGTTCTAATATACTAGTTATTTCTTGTTTTACAGTATCATTTAGCATCGTTTCTCTATCAATAGTAACTGTTTGCTTATTCGTCCTTGCAACTCTTTTTAATCTCAGTCTTATTTTTCCTACTAAAATATTGTGATCTGTTGGTACATCTGCCCCTGGATATGTTTTTACTGATAATACTGAATTTCTGTATCTCTTATTTATACATATGAAGTCTATTTGGTTACGAAAAACTCGTTCAGGTGTATCTGCTGGTGATTTCCAGGTGTAAAGACGACGTTTTGGAAGTTTGAAAATTGTGTTCATTATTACTAATTGCTTTTCTACGCAAAAAGATGCCAACATATCTCCTCTTTCATTTCGTATTCCCAGACCATATTTCCCTATGACATCTTCCTGTTCACCTTCACCAATCTTTGCATTAAAATCTCCCATGATAATATTGAGATCGTGTTTCTTTGTAGGTGCTAATACTTTTTCTAAATCATGATAGAATTTTTCAATTTCTTCTTGTTCATAGTCTTGTGTGGGTGCATATACTTGTAATATGTTCACATTGATTGTTGTTGATTGTATTTGTATCATCAGTATCCTGTCTGAGAATAGGACGACGTTTTTTACAGCTTCATCTGTTTCCTTCGACACAATTATTGCTACACCATTTTTGTGTTTTGAGCTGTCTTCTCCTGAATAGTATACAATGTGGTCATCTACAGTTACTTTTCCAGACCCCGGCCATCTTATTTCACTTATTCCAAGGATACTTATATTTAGACGCTTCATTTCTTTAATGGTGTTATGAATTTTTCCTGGTTCGTACATGTTTCTTACATTCCATGTACCTATTTTTCTTTCTTTAGAAAATGTGTTCATGTTTCTAGCTGACCGGGAGATTCTTAGCACCCCTGCTCCATTTAAGGAGCGCCCGTACTCGGGGCCGTTGTATTTATCAGCCATTTCCATGATTGTTTCTTGGGAAAATTAGGCTCTAGGTGGTTTCCCGTTGCCTTCCTAGAGTTTGTAATAGAAGGAAATATAGTGACCCGTCTGCCCTCGGAAACCTAATAGCCATTCGGGGTCGGAAGAAACAAGAGTTAGCCAAGAGAGGCCGATAGGAAAGATTAAAGACATTTCACTCAAGACAAGTTGAAAAATAGTGAAATGT